AAATCTATGAACTTCGAACTTTCAAATTCAATAACTCGTGCCGAAACATAGCAAATCAATCCGTAAATGACTTCAAATTTTGCACACAAGTCCCAAATAACATAACGAAACTATTCCAATTCCTGAAATCACAATCCAAATCCGATATCCAAAAAGTCCACTCCCGGACAAACTTTCCAAAATTTTAATTTTTGCCATTTCGAGCCAAATTCAACTACGGACCTCCAAATCATAATTCAGACGCGCTCCTAAGTCTGAAATCACCCCACGGAGCTAATGGAATAATCAAAACTCTGTTCCGGGTTCAAATTCAGAAAAAGTCAAACTTGGTCAACTCTCTCAATTTAAAGTTTCAACATTGAAGTCCATTCTTCCAATTCGATTCCGAAAAACCTGAAAACCAAAACCGACGATTCACACAAGTCAAAATACATCATACGGAGCTACTCACGCTTGTAAACTACCGAGCGAAGTTCAAGTTCTCAAAACGACCGGTCGGGTCGTAACAAAAAATAATTAGGTAGAATTTGTACAATTTTACTAGTTGTATCTTGATCATAGTCCTTGTACGACCTTCAAGGTTTTCTTTTTGTTGTAGCCACAAAGAATTCTCGAAGTGATAAAGGGTCAGAAGTGTTCTTCTCTTTTTCCTGGATACATTAAGAGTGGGTATCAAAAATATTCTTAAAAATGACAACATGATCATATTTACTGATAAATAAGAGCACACACCAAATTAGTGCGGATTACAGCAAAGCTTGTTTTGCCAACCGTGTGTGGATTCTTCAATTATTTTTTATTCTCAATATTGATCTTTGACATTTTCTGCAAAGAACTGAGTCAAGTAGTAGACTTATCTGGACTTTTTCAGATCCCCAATATTTAAGGAGTTCAGTTAAGAGGTGTTCAGTTAAGCTGTACCAGAAGTCGGACAGTCCAGTTCATTGTCCTATTCTTTTTATCTAAGTGCAGGCATGCCATTATTTGTAAGTAATAAGCTTTAGTTGCCGCAAGTAATAGACTTACCTGGACATTTTCAGATCCCCAATATTTGAGGAGATCCTTAAATTGAGATGCTGGAGTATATTAATGCCTTTTTTGCAGTCGAATTTCATCATCTGCATAGGCCTCAAAGTGATTTTTTTTCAAAGTACTCTTGTGTCTTCTCCAAGCAGCTTGAACTGTATCCAAAGTCCATTTTTTTGAAGTGTCAGGAATATCATATTTCTCCTACAAATTATTTTAATGGGTTAGTGCAAAATGTATTAAATATATCCAACCAAAAATTGAATTGAAAACTTCAAACCTTGGTATACGCCCATAGATCATATTTTATGTCCATTTTCCTCCAATCAAATATATCAAGAGGACAAAGAGTCGCATTCCTTGCCAGTGTGTCGAGGAAACTTCCCAATTCTGTCATAACATCTTTACTAGGGCCAACAGGTTGGTTGTTTTCATTTACTACTATCAATTTTCGCTCACGCCTTCCATGTACATTTAGCATCTTTGTTTTACCTCTTTTCCTTTTTTGAGTAGAAGAATCTACAATAATACAAACCATAGATAACCATAAAATTACATGTTGTTCAGCTTTATAATTGAAAATGAATGCCAGTATTTGTATGAAAATTCTTGCCTTGTTGTTCACGTTGTTCTTGTTCATCAACTGTTGTAGAATTTAATTGAATTTGTTCCTCTAATGTTTCTGCTGCAGGGATAGTTGTCTCTGTTTGTATATGGGCTACTACACCTGAATTTTGTGGTGTTAGTATCTGATGGTCTTCAGCTAAATTTGGCAGAAGCTCATGCTCTTCACTCGACCGTGTACATCTAGCTGGAACATTTGTTTTCTTGGTCAACACTAACTTCTTTTGGTATGGCAAGGAGGCAACTATTCCAGCACTATTTCTTGTCGAGTATTTTATTTTTTTCTTTTGTTTCGGATGTTCTTCTTGTTTCATGACTATATGAAACTCTGTCAGGATGATTTAAAATAAAACAGTTAGAGCCAATTAGCCAAAAGGTGGACCTCAAATGCCAAACCAGAAGCAAAAGGGACAATCAAAACTAAAGATCTTCTGAGTTTGAGTAAAATCGCGTGATCAAAGATAACAAGAAAAATCCTAGCAGTATTTTAAGCTTTGTTAAAAGTGAAATAGAAAACTCATTCAGGTAAAATACTGTAATAGAAGTGTCGACGAATGTACCTATCTTCTGTCAGTGAGGACCCTACGACCAATGAATTTCTCAGTATATAAGAAAGCAATACTAAAGCATTGTTCCAATCTATACCAACAACCTTAACGACGACAATATTCTTTCTCTCGATAGCTAAATTGTGAGTAGCACTATAAGGACAAGTAGGAATACCACTACTCTTTTTTAAAATGCATATCACACTCATCAGACTTCAAATCAAGATTGACGTGAAGAAAAATAATTGATTTACGATCCAAAATTACACAATAGTCGAAGAAATTTACATTCAAACCAAATTACAGAACAGTCAAGGAACCAATATCAAATAACATTCTTTTCCATTTTCTTTCAAAGCGATGGTACAAAAATGAAAAGAAGAAAATGCCAAAGAGAACTCTTCTGAAGTTTTCATATTTGTATATTTAGAAGAAGTTCAGAAGTTCCTTCTTCAATCATCATCATCCATCCAATCCCAATCAGTATCATCAATATCATCCCCCTCTTCCGATGTTTCTATATTTGTATCTTGTAAATGTTCTGCATCAGATGCCATATCAATGACATCACTACGAATATCTTCTCTCAACCATATGACATCTACATCGGGTATTCTAATTGATGAACCAATGTCATCATCAAGCTCCCTCAAAAATGTGTCTGCAACATTATCACAATTCTCTTCCTCCAAATCATACAAGTCAGCATGGACTTTGTTTCTTGGATAATAAACATCTTTCTTAATTGGATCCTCCACATAAAAAACTTGATGCACTTGAGATGCCAATACAAAACGGTCATCGACACTACATAATCTGTTGAAGTATACCCGAGTTAATTCATATTCATCTATTTCATTATGAAACCAATCACATCTAAACAGTACAACACTAAAACAACCCCAATAATCAATCTCAATAATATCCCGAATAGATCAATAATAGATAACCTCTCCATCGATAGGATTTGCGTCTCTAGCACTAGCAAAACTAACCGATGTTGCCTACAGAGTCACTCAATTATTTTGAGTCTTCACTCGGCTATCTCGTTCCATCGTATGAAATCGGTATCCATTGATGAAATATCCAGTATATCGTTTTGCAACTATATTAGGCCCTTTGGCTAGCCATCGTAAATGATTGGACACTTTAACAGTTTTAACTTTCTCTTTGAACTAGTTGCTGAACTCCTGACTATGATTTTGTGCTTTAATCCATGCATTTGATCTAGTATGATTATCAATTAAACTCTTATATTCCCTGTAAACATGAATATTTAAGATTCATTTATTAGGCCTTTAAGAATAAAGTATAAAATATCATATCGCATAAATAAATTAATAAAGTTTATAATAAAAATGACAATTCTTACTAGATAAACATCTCTATTTGTTCATCCCCAGTATTGAATAGAGCATATCGATGTGCTTCAAAACATAATTGTAAATCCATGTTAAATGGCTTGCCTTTATTTTTCTTCTTACTTCCGATTGGATGGCGTATCTTAGGGAATATAGGTGACAAATCATCTCCCTCTATTTCAACCCCCGCATCATCTTCTGTTTGATACCTACTAAATCTTGTTTTCACCTCATCATGTAGGTATCTCGAACAAAAGGTCAAGAACTCTTCGGCCAAAAAACCCTCCGCTATTGATGATTCTGAATGATATCGGTTACGAACAAATGCCTTATACTTACACAGGTTTCTCTCAATAGAATACTTCCAATGTAAATGAGTCGGAACCCCAAGCATAATTTCATTTACTAAATGGATAAGCAAATGTTCCATTATATCAAAAAGAAAAAATTGAGGAAAGTTCTTTTAAAGGTCACATCCAATTTCATTGATTTCAGCTTGTATTTTATCAAGATCTCTTCGCCTTATAACCTTGCTACATATGGATCTAAAAAAGTTCCCCGACTTAATTAAGGCCAAAGAAACATTCTTGGACAACACCTTTCTAACGGCAGCCTGGAGCAAGTAATTCATTATAAAATGAGCATCGTGACTCTTGTACCCTGATATTTTTTCTCCTCCACTTTCACACGTTGTGATACATTTGAGGCACACCCTTTTGGTAATTTGGCATTTTTTAAAACAGTGCAAAATAACTTTTTCTCTTATGGTTTCATAGAGAAACAAGCTTTAGCCAAATAAACCTTTTTATTATCCTTATCTTTTAATGGTTGAAGCTCTTTTCGTATCCCCATCTCTTCCAAGTCTTAGAGAGAATTTACACGAACTTTTGACTTTCTAGGCTTATCAAAAAAAGTACCAAGCAAACTATCATATATGTTCTTCTCGATGTGCATTACATCAAGATTATGTCTCAATTTGTTATGTGCCCAATACGGCCATTCAAAAAAGATTGACTTTCTCTTCCACGGACCGCCATTACCCCATCGGCGTTTCTTTTGACCATTTCCAAAGACATGATTAAATTCTCGCAGTTCTTCTAACACTTCTACACCTGACAAGGGAGTAGGTGCTATTCTATGATCCTCCTTACCATCAAATAATTTCGTATCTCTTCGAAATTGTAACGACCCGGCCGGTCGTTTTGAGAGTAATAGACCCAATCCCCTATTTACTGCTTTTCCCGTATCTTTTTCTGCTTATGTAACTTGCCGGGAGGTTTTGTTGTTGGTTTCGGAGTATTTTGGGACACTTAGTCCCTAAACGGAAGTTTAAGCCTTAGAATTTTGACCGTAGTCAGAACTGTGTGAAAACGACTCTGGAATAGAGTTTTGTCTGATCTGTTAGCTCCGTTGGGTGATTTTGGACTTAGGGGTGTGTCCGAATTGTGTTTTGGAAGTCTGTAGCTGATTTAGGCTTGAATTGGCGAAAGTCGAATTTTTGGAGATTTTGACCGGAAGTGGACTTTTTGATATTAGGGTC